ACTATTTTGTATTCAAGTAGGTAAATGAATCATGTCTTGTATACAAATTACTAAAACATAATGCAATATTATTTCGTTGTCTATACTCAGAATATTGGTATTATGATTATATTTATAATTAGTAATACCATTCCCTATCTTATAAGATAGATAATGATTATTAATATTATTATTGTCAATAATGTATCAGCAAATAAGTTTAACCTATCAATTATTTATGTTTATAAAATATTATACAACACCAAGCGACAATTATTTAGACGTATCAACATTTTTTATAAATTTATTTCACATAATGTGTTAATCTAAATGTATGATAATCTAATAATCATTATATAAAACTATCTTCGTAATTAAATTCAATGTAATGTCGAATAGTTACTTCGACACATTACAATAACATTCGTTATTTTTTAAATATTTTTATGTAAAAAAATTCTATACGTAACAACAATCTTGATTATAAAATTGTCTTGATTCTTTAATGATTGTAGTGAATGATTTATTTCTTACTCTTTGGTCATTTTGTTATAAACGTTTACATTTTTGTTTACATTCACCGGAAATGGGTCAAATAGTATTTCGTGTCTCTTCGTTGTTTTACATGATCAATGTGAGCGAACTATCTTCTGTAAATTAAACTCGATTTTGTAATACAATTACAGACTTTGGTCAAACTAATCGATTAAAATTTATTAAATTTAGAGTCGAGTTTACAAACATAAGGTAAAAAAGCAGTAAAAATTCGAGCCATTCATATATTTATTGATAATTCGATGTAAAGAAATTCTAACGAAGCTTATGTTTATTTTTATAAAAAAAAAAAAAAAAAATTTTTTAACATGATTCTTGTAAGCGTTATAATATTCGTATGTTTGGTAAATTTTCATCAAATATTTTACACAATAAATATACTTTCTTTTCGATACAATATTACAACTATATAATTAATTTTAATTTTTAATTTAAAAATAAATATTTTAAAACATGCACTGGAGAGAGTTTTCGAAAAAATTTTTTTTAAACAATATATTTTATTATCACGCGTTATTAACAAATTCTGTCAAAGAGTTGCACTAAGTTTAAGCATCATAAGTCGGTAGGTATGTATTCACGTTATTCTGCTAATTTAATATTAATAATTTCATTATGTAACTCAACCTTACACTCGTTAATTACCTGAGATTCTAGTATTGATAAATGCGAACAATGATTATGGATTTCTAATTTATATTACTGGTCTTGTACGAATTCATAATAATATAGATTGACACTAAATATTTAATATGTATTTTTATTTATTTTCTTCATTTATTCATTTTTATTTTTATTTAGTTAATATTTTACGGATTTTCTATTAACTAAACATTTAATTCTATCAATTCCATAATTACATGCATAATTTTACTACGCGTATTTTTCATTATTATAGTGTATATTGTTTATAAAATCTATGGTAAAATATTAATATTAAAAACTCTGTCGAAATGTTTTAAATGACATATTTAAATGACAATCATTATAATGTAAGGAAATAAAAATATAATTGATAAATCAATTAGGCTCTAGTTTTTTTTTTTTTTTTGTTTTTTTTGTTTTATAAAAGTTTATAAATCTATAATTATATTAATATAAAATTAACATAACTATAGTTCAAACACCCAAGGCCTCATACTTGATAGTTCTAAACGAATAATTTATAATCTTAAATTGTAAATATAAAATTTAAATAAAATATTAAAAATATTAACTTACCTTGAGCAGGTAAATTATCACTTTATCAATTGACATTTGAATAATACTTACGCCAAGTATTTTAATCATGTATATGTAGTAACAAGAAACATTTATATTGATAAATGTATTTAACAAAAATAAATCTTGTAGAAACGTACATTTTTTTTTTTTTTTTTTTTTTTTTTTTTACAAATTACAACCATTATTTCACATTAAATTACAATAAATATTGAGTTATGTTAAGTCTTTTTTATTGTGATAAACAACTCGTAATAATAAATTAGACGAAGTACATAGTTTAATAGGATGAGAAAAGAATATTTTAAAAAAAATTATACAATATGTTAATCGTATTAATAAACATTAATGTATTCGTAACAATACTTTTTTATGTTTAGATTATTTTTAACAATTGATTATAATTCAATGTCAAATAAACATTATTATTAGTATGTAGATACCTACATTATAAAAAGATGCATTTTACATTTATAAGTTGAAAAATTTATTTCCTCTAATGTTCAGTATAAATTTATTTCAATCTTCACAAAGACTAAAAAAATGTAATTTTGAAAAAATCTACTTTATTTATACTTTTTGTATACATAACTTATTTGTTTCAATAAGTAAACACGAGTATAAATAAATAAATTTAGCATATAATTAAAATGAAGATAATACTAATTACAAAGTATTAAGATAATACGAAAAGAAAGTACATGTTATTCTTTAATATTCAAATAATTTATATAGAATAAATCTAATTAATATAAAGCATGCTTTTAATACAAGTGATTTTAAACAATATAAACAAAAACAGAATACTTAAGGACTTTGTAAATATGTGCATTATTACATAGAATAAAACAAAACTTGTAAAATATTCAAATCGGGAACTTAATAATTTGCATATTTTTTTTCATAAAATTACTAGCTCCAGCAGTAGGTTTATTTTTATTAATAATTCGAAACAAATTACTTTATTCATTTGATTCGAGGCCGCTTAGAGAGTAGTCCCGCTATTTAATTTATCAGTTACTACTAACAGTTAGAGGTATTTATCAATTTAATAAATTTTCTTTAAGACTCAAATCGATTATAGTTTGAAATGAATAGTAATTGCTCCTTCATCAAATCAGATTGCAAATCAGAAAAATTAACATAAATTGTAAAATTTTATATTTATTGAAAAAGGATGTTGATTCTGTGCTTTTGTGCCGAGCGTCAATAAAACAATGAATTATATTATATTTATGTATTTCAAATTACATGGCTTAACAATATTAGTACTTATTTTTAAATACAATAAATCTTATATTTTGCATACAAAGTTTTTTTGTATTCGAATTCTTTCAGTATTTTGTTACTAATCATCGGAACTAGTCTTTATGTATGACGTTACATTGAAATTACATTGAAAAAACGCTCTTTATATTAGTATAATGCATTTCTCTGTCCCATGAAAATGTCAAAGATATCGTGAATATTTAATAAAATGATGTTATTATTTAACAAAGTTATTGTAAAACTAGCATCAACTTCAATTATTAGTTTAATCTTTCATTTTCCTCTGTACAATTATCAATAAATTATTTTCCTTGATGGTAATTTTATTTCACGTTTTCCTAAAATTTATTCGTTATGTACAGCAGAATAAAAATGTTATTAATAGCATCATTTACTTTAAAATCAATTTTAAAGTAAGTATTTATGGAAAATGTAAACGATAAGAAATACATTTGCCATTTGCGTTGAACTTAATTACATATCGTTTTAAGGATACTTCTTCACACATACGTATCTTTATGAAGAAAAATTTGCTTTTTGTGCGCGAAAATCTGTATTTTCAGCCGCTTCAAAAATAAAATAAAAAAAAAAAACAAAAAACGCATTCATCAATCGAGGAGGCCGTTGTGTCAAAAGCAATCCACCATACCGTTAATAAAAAAATTAAAAAAAAAAAAAAAAAGAAAGTTTTTTTTTAAAATAAAAAGACAATTTAAAAGCCTTATTTATTACTTTTGATTCATCGGATTTACAAATACTCTTGGCTTATTCAATATTATAATTAAAAGTTTTTTTTATAAACACTGAGCTGTCGGATTTAGAGAATTTTTGTAATAATATCATGACCTCAATTACAGCAATTTTATACATGATATCAACGGGACAAAAACTAAACTAGTTTACATAAGGAGAGAAATTATTATACGTAACTTTCTTGTAATCATTAAATGCATTGAAAAGTAATGCTATCGAGAAATTATGGTTGAAAAGCATCCGCAATAATAATTATAATTTTTATAATTTTTTAATTAAATGAATTATCAGTAAAATTCTAATTCTATTGTTAATGTACATGAATATTAGAGAAATATAATCAATTTCGACTTATTCTTGTAAATAAATTTACCAAGCACAATAAAATGAATGATAAAGCGCGCTTTGTCTAACACGCAAAAGTTGATTTTTAAAATTTTTTGTACATTTAAAAAATTCCTTTGCATTAGAAACTAATTAGTAATATTTTTTTCTTTCTATCTTCCTTTCATTTTATTTACTTATTTATTGATTGATCGATTTATTTATTTATCTATTATCTATTAGAAAATGCCGCGAACAATATTTATCAAACGCTTAAACAAGCATTCATTATACTCTATGAACATATATGGATAATTGATTTTTTCATAAAGATGACGTATGAAATTTCGTCATTTCGTTCAATTGTTTCATCTACCGTAAAAATCACTGTAACATGGTTAGGATTTAAAAATTTACACAGCTTATGGGGCGATTTCGAAGAGCGTAAATATTATAAAAATGTAATAAAATCTCACGTATTTCGGTACAAGTGACGAGGAAGACAGCGAGGATGAATCGAAGCGCTCAATCGTATATCTCTGCGGTATCAGGATAAGCTTATTCCAGAATAATTAGAGTTCCGGTACATCGATAATAACAATTCCGGGTCCTTTTTAAAAAGAAAACCAAAAAAGCTTGCTGCGAGAAATGCTGATGGTTCGTTATCGTATAAACTTACAGGGCGGGGGGGGGGGGGGAGCTCATCGTCCATCCTTTCTGCACTATTAATAAACAAGGAGATAAAGCACAGAAATGATTGACAGTGGCTTGTCGCGCGCAGAGCCGCCGGAGGAACGTCTATCGAACGATCGTCACTCGTCCTTACCGATCCTCGTCCACTGCGCGACAACGACACTCCCCGGGAAGCCCGTGCTCGGCTTGCTAGGAGGCGTGTGCTAAGAGGCCAATTGGACCTGATGTTACGAGCCGAGGTCCCTGTCGCGCTGCTCGGGCTTCCGGGGCTGAAGCACATGGAGCTCGTGTTGCAGGCTCCAGGGTATCTCGAGGTCAAACGCCTGCCAGTCGTAACGCAACCTGCGCTTAATCTCGCGTAGGCAGAGGTCGCGCAGCGAGTAGAGAGGTAGAGTGATGTAGACGGGGGTGCGCTCGATCCGGGCCGGGAGCTCGAAAGGACGCATGCCCCGGTATTTGGCGAACCACGGCTCCGGGAAGAACACCTCCTCGCCGTTCCCTGGAAACCTGAGACGTTGTTTTCCTTAGTTTTGACTATCCTCACGGATGCGGATGCTGATGCGCTCGGATGATGATATGGGGGAACAAGTCCGGACAAGGACGCTTACAGTCGGGTATGTGGGCGCAGTGACGTTTGACGTTTCCATCAAGCCGAGTTTAAAGTCTTTGGCTAACAGCGATAATCGCTCTTAATGTGAAATTTGCTTATAATCAATGTATTTGTGATCGACGGGCGCCTATATAACGAACATAAGTTTCAATTAACTCGTCCAAAGTCTAAGAAATAATGTACAAATCCACGGCCGTGATTTATATTTGACGTAACGTCCGCTCGAGTTACGTGTATTTTTTATTACAGGGACAGCATGACAAGTCGTTTTTGATTAGATTTACTAGAGGTTAGAGACAAAAATCGTGCAAAAGGAAAATAGTTTCATTTAATTTTTTGTACGTACGTTGGCGCTTAAATGCTGGGGTAGAAAAAAAGTTGGTAATTGCACGGCTTAACGAATATGTTTGGATCATTCAGGTGAGAATCTTTAAATGGAGAGAATAAAAAGATTTTCACATTTGTTAACGAGCCCAAATTTCTACAGCTCTTTCATCATGTTATAAACAATTTTATTAACGCTTTATCGTAATTAATTCGCGCGCATAATTTAATTGGAAAAAGAACTGGAATAATAATAATAATAATAATAAGTAAATAATTGCCTGAATTGTCAAGAGCAACGATTATCTTTCATTTAATTTCCATTTAAACGTATGAGCAACGCACTCTTCCGAAGGCGAATAAAATTATAATGTATAGAATATTTGAAACGTTTAGTTGAAAATTATACGAAGGCTTAAGTAGCAAAATGAATTATAAATTAAGTAAACTGTAAATTGCATAATATTACAATACGTGGTTCAATTTCTGCTTAGAACTTCTCGAAATTTCATTAGTCAATTGTTTATTTCACTATTGTTTATTATTCAAATATAATTCAATATTCAATATACAAATATACAAATAGATTGATTATTCAAATTCATATAATTAATGCACAATTAACAAAATAACCTACATTATATCCCCTTCGTTCTCTAATTCGCGTAAAACTTCTTCATTAAAACTTTTAAACATTACTTTGACGCTTATGTTTGGAAAATTAATTCTTACCTTTATAAAACTTGCTTATTATTTCAGTTATTTTTTAATATTTTTATTGGGTGTAAAATTTTCGCCCAGTCGTAAGTTTTACAACGCTTCACACTTTAAAATACTTCGCATCTATTATTTTAGGAAAACAAATTTTAAGATAAATTTTCAAGTACGTGACAATAAGTTCGTAGAATAAAATTAAAAATTTAAAAGAAGATTTCTTGCAAATACTCGGCGAACTATCGCTGCTATATGAAAATCAGAAATACGTTGAACATTTACAAAGGGAGATTACGAACTTATGTAATAGGCGTAATGTAATTTCGAGTTTTATGAATTATGATTATTAAGAATTTCATATTATTTATAAAAATAGAGTCTCTCGGTATTCTACATCACGTGCCCAACATTATAAATTTACTTCATACTTCGAATGGAAATAAACCTTCAATTGTCGTTTCAATGCAAGCAATGGCTAAAGCATTGAATATTAATGTTACGTAATACGACACTGCGCAAACACGCAATTTTACATTGTACTTGTGTTTGCGTATATCAGCTGAGTAGAGAAAAAAATCTATCTAAGAAAATTAAATTAAATTATTTTACTCGTTAAAAGAAAGTTGAAAAAGGCTAGAATATACCATGTGAAATTTGCATGCAAAGAAATTATATGCAAATTATACTTAGCGCGCGTAAAATGCAGCAGTGACATTACGAGGACTTATTCCACCAACGAGTATAAAGGAGAAAAACAACATGAGATGAAAATAAATGGTCACCTGTCCTTTGTCTCCTCGTCAACAAAGATCCACGGATGCGTGACGAAAGTATTAATCTCGACGTGATCACGACAGCCAAGGACCCTATAGCAAACCATTTTGCCCTGGTAGTCGATCCAGTAAACGCCTATGTTATGGCGTGTCGTGTTGATGAACTTGACGAAGGAGCTGTGACGATTGTGAATTGATCTGAGCGTCGGTGGTAGCTGCTCATCTTCCTCCTGCTGTTCCATGTCGGCAGTGACATCGAACTACGTGTCTATCTTTGTTTTGCATATGCAGCAAGCAGCCACTCTTTTCTCCCGGTCGCCCAAAATTTCATTCGTCACCTCTCTCTCTCTCTCTCTCTCTCTCTCTCTCTCTCTCTCTCTCTCTCTCTACGTATTTATCTTTGCCTTCGTCTTTTCCTCTCTTTCAAAATTTAGCTAGACTTCGTAATCTCGATTGACTTTGGTCAATTTAACGTCTCGTGACGAATCCAGCACGACCACCGGTCACCAACTCACTAAAATCAAAAGAAAATGAACAAAAAGCGATGCTACAATATTGATGCTCCGCCGATATATTATTGTCGGCTAATGATCGCCGAAGTTGTTAAATAAGCTTACGGCGACGTCCAATGCCAACGTCAGCATTATCAGTTACTAGTGTGTACAAAATATAATATTTTTATTTGTTTTTTATTCAATTACTTCATGATCTTTCGAGAGAATTTGACGTAAGTCATATTGGTAATATAAATAATTGGAGCCTTAAAAGGAATAACTGTCAACTCGTTAGTATTCAATATGAAACGCCAGATTCGTCTTCGTTTATTTAGGCTTGGCTGTAAAAAAAAAAAATCTTCATCATTTAAGAATTCAATATAATCGACAGGTTGTTATTCAATTGGACAATTTTAATGAAAAATTATTAATATCCATATTATAATTATTATACCCTATTACACCGTAACATTTTCTTATTTACTAATTCAAACGTTGAAAATTAAAACTTTTTCTTAAATCTCATGGGTTTCCTTTATTATTTATCGAAAATACATTTTGATGAAACTAATTAATAGACCATTTAAATTTAAATTTAAATAGATTATAAATTTAAACAGCATATTTATATATTATTATCACCGCAATCATTTAGATAGCATTAACGATCTAAAGCATTTAATTTCATAAAATGTATTATTATTATTAAGGTCACTTTAATTTAATTAACTATTAAAGTTAATTAAAAGTTTTTTAAAATTATTTTTTAATGCTAAGAGATAAGAATGAAGTAATATTCCAAATAATTTTAACGAACATATATATATATATATATATCTCGATAATACATCAATCGTTCAAGTTATGTGAATTAGTTAGATGTCGACACTACTAAATGCTAAATAACGACAACTAATTAAAAAGGTTTTATATACGATATTCATTGTAAGGTGATTTGGAAATTATTTTTTAAACGAGTCATAATAAATATAGTAGTAAACATAAAACTTGAGAATTATGAAAGCATTATACATTACTTAATAATCACTATTATTAAATAAATTTTATCGGATTATTTAAGTATTTATATAAAATTTCATAATTACTACACAGTAAAAATGATTAATTTCCTTTATCGTATATCAAAATACAAAACAATTAAAGCACATTTTATAGCAGTTTATGACATAAATAGCAGTTTTAAACTGTAATTACAATTCTTATCTAAAATTTGAAGCACATAATTTATTGTTTGTAACAGTAATAATTATTTTTATAAATCATCTTTTGTACCCAAAAATTTGTCAATAAAACTTCATTATTTATGAGCAATAGTATTCTATAGTTGTTTTTTGTTTATTTTTTGAAATTAGTTGAAAATATGATATATGAATATATATATATATATATATATATATATATATATATATATATATATATATATTGATATAATTTTTTATAAATTTATTAAACTTATAACTTTTTTATACGAATAATTATTACTAGATAATAAGTATGCTTATGATTTTGATTTAATTATGGCAAGTTAATATAAAAAGAAAAACTTGAACAATAATTAAACATATGCATAATGAAGATTTTGAATACTATGAATAATTTTATTATAGTTTTCATGAGAAATGTAAAAAAAACCTTTTTTATTATATTCAATAGTCAGATAATTTAATTTTTAAATTTAAAATCCTTATCGATAGATGTCGAATGAAACCAAATTAAGCTGGAAAATTTATATAAATATAAATTGTGGATTAAAGAATTTTTCTAATATTTTATATATTTAAAGGCAAAAAAAAAATCATAAAAATTAAACTAAATAATCAATTACAAGAATTTTTTTTAAATAAGTTCCATTAGCTTTTAATAAAATTAATCCCATAAAATAAATAAAGTGGTTTCGATAATTTAAAATAATTTTATTCATATTTAAATACAATAGTTACTGTCTACATTCTAATTTACTTGTGTTTCTTATAAATAAGTATTGGAAAAATTGTACAGTATATCTTAGATCTTTACTATTAAACCTAAAAATAGTTTTGTATTAAATAGAATTTACCAAATGAATGAATAAAATTGTAAATTCAGACGTGCAAGATACGTCACACAAAGCAATTTAAGTTTACACAATAAAGTATTAAAACAACTCTATTAGTATGTTTACTAAAGGTAATAATTTCATTTTATTATTATTGTAATTATAAATTGGAATTGAAAATTAAATCAACAATTTAAAATATTATTTCATTCGTTATGAAAACTTTTATTAAAATATTTTTTAAATATTCTTTATATAATAGTTTTAATAACGAGTTCAATGTAATTTTAGTAAATTAAAAGTGATTGAATTAAGAGGGAATGATTGAGCGAGCAGAAAGCATTGGTGTATCAATCTATTTTAGAAATTTTCAAATATGCTTTCTTTTTATGTAGGAAATTTCATCATAGTGATTATTAATTATACAATTAATTTAATTTTCCTTTATTATCTACGAATATGATACCTAAGCTTTGAAATTGAATAGACGTGGCTGAAAAAAGGGAAAAACGGTGAAGAGAGTTTCATTACTACAAGTAGCAAGTACGTTGCCACTTAAAAATTAAAGTCTCATCAGATTTAGTATAATGAATTATCGCAGTTTCCAAAGTATAATTTTTATCGATACGACAAGATTCGTAAGAGTAATTACCGATTGCATTTTCACCGGAAGCTCGTCTCTCTCTTCTTCAAGTTTCGCTCAAGCCAAAAAAATATCTTGAATTTTCCCAGCTGGATTCGGTGCATGTCTAGTGCAAGAAAGTGTACGGAGTCGGCGATCAACCTCGTCAGGTTAAATCCTGACGGAAACGAGACTGCGAAACGCGCGCCAAGCTTCATTTACAAATTCGAGCGTTAATTACTTAATTCGATTACGTCTATTCTAGCGCTTACTCAAGGAGCTTCCTATCGACTTTCTCCGACGCAACGTTCCAGCTCTCTTCTGTGACTCCCTCACTCACCCTCCCTCGCGCTCGCGTTCTATCTCTCTCTCTCTCTCTCTCTCTCTCTCTCTCTCTCTCTCTCTCTCTGTGTGTCTCGATAATTAACGTCACACGAATAGCGACCGATCCTCTCTTAACTCAAGAGAGAAAGAAGGGTGGGGGACACGGGGTGGGGAGTCACCGCGTCGATTAAATTGCATTCGAGCCCGACGCCACTGGCCACTGTAATTTGCGTGGCAATTCGCGAGTCGAGCAACCGCACACTACGAGCTTCCTTCCTCTTCCAGTCCTCCTCGACCACTCACAACCCCTTAGTCGAGAATCTCGCTTGTCCTTGTGGCAGATGCTAAGGGACCGCAGCCTTTGACAAGGACTCCTAGGATTGCGCGAGGGCAGATGCACATGGTTGTCGAGCAGACGGAACGGAACAGGAGGTGCAACGAAGAGGAGATGACGTATTAGCCCCGCTGGAGGTTACGGCGTCTCTTACTTTTACTCGAATTTTTCCCTATTTAATTCCTCCGATTTCCTCCGATTTTATTAGTTTTTATTAAGAAATTTTTTTACTTTTCCTAACCAATCTGCTTTTTATACTGCCTACAATACGCTTATACATACTTATGCAATATAGTCTACATGAGCAAGCCCCAACATAAACAAAAACTTAAAGCTTATGTAACTTCCTGCAGATATAAATTCAACCTATATTATTTATGAGAAGCCATGTCAATATAACAATTTACGTAGAATTCATAGAATATTTCCTTTATGTTCCCGTTCATATTTTCTAAAATTTTAGCGTTTTTTATTATTTTTTTTTTTTAACGAGTCAGTAACATTTCTGTTTAGTAGTTTAATTAATGTTAATTAAAATGTTGTTTAGACAAAGGTTTAGACAAATGCAAGGATTCGAGAAAGTACAAGAAGATTGAATAACCAGACTCGCTTAACTGGATGAACCAAAGTATTAGTTCTATGAGTTTTCTACTTTTGGTCCCATTAATCCTATTCTCTTACAATTCTATTTTTTCTTCATAATTTAAAATACATTTAAATTTATCCCATTTATTTATATAAATACTATGAAATATGATGTATATTGAATAGATAGAAAACGAAGACAAATGTTTATAATGTAAGAAATCATAGATTTTTAAATAATTAAAAAGAAAAAAAGAATATCAATTATAGAGAGAATTGATATTCTGTAGGATGAGCATTCACTGTATTTAAAAAAAAAAAAAAAAAAAAAAAAAAACATAAATTTGGAAAAAATGTTATTCAAGCAACAAGTTCAATGTGTTGATAATATAATTTTTAAAATCATTCTCGTGTTATTGTTATCGATAATACCTACTGATTGAGAGAGAAAAAGGCGTATATTAATTTTGCATTTGTCATTTTAATTGTGATAGCTTAATCTCTCGAGACAGGAAATAAGATATTGCATGCGACGTGGAATAGTAGAAAAGCTCTGATTTCATAAAAGTTGTGAACGTAAATTGGTTATTTATAGTAAAAATAAAATTTCATCCAGTAAAAAGGATTTATATTCGATTATGTTTTTTGAAATATTTGAAATATTATTGATTAAATAAATGATATGCCAATTTGAAATACATTTAAAAATTATATAAAAAAAAAATAGGAATAAGTTATAGACTAATCTAATAAAGGATTTAAAACTTCATTCGTAATTCGAAAATTATACATATTAAAAAAAAATCAAATTATTTCAGTAAATAATTTAGTAAAAGAATAATTATTTTCATTTCATAAGGTGTGATAATAATTATTTTGTAATTTAATTTCGTAATTAAATATATCTTTAATCAAACAAGTGATCGTCTATAG